GAAGATAGTGGTCTGAGTGGTGTTCAACCGATGCATGAGAATCCCTAAGACCTGCATGACCCTGTAAGGCATGATGCTGAGTGCTGAGCCCGGGTCAACTTGAACACGGTTGATTTCCGAGGACCCAATGTACCGTGTGTAGTACAAAGGTCTGTCATACTTGTGCTTTACCTACATATCGTCCTGAGTGAATGATATGCATGGTAGACTTCTTGCTGCTTGTAGGCATCGCAGGCAAGATTGATCTTCAAAATCTTCAGGAATTGGAATGACTTGTGAGATAAAGATTCCCGTATTCTTTAATGCTTCAATTAGAGCTTCCTTGGTGGTTTTGGACAACCTCAGGAGCTCGTATAGGGTAATCCTAGCTGGTATATTGGCTAATTGCGCCATGATGTTGAACTGGAAAGGAGCACTTGATTCCCCAACTTCTTGAAGAACATTCTTATTGTACCAAGTTTCCTTTTGTTTCCTTTTGTCAACTGACTTATTGGGAATAGAACCCCCAGCGTCTTGGTGTTGTTCTTCTGCTTCTTGAGCATTCTGATCGTAGTCCTTCAGGTAAGATTTTCCTAATCGAGTGCCAGGATTGCCTCCCGGATATGCTGCAAGAACAGTCCTTTCTTCCTCTGAGTTGGTGAGAGGTTTGAGATGATTATCATTCTCATTTATGGAGGGGCTAATTATGTTAGATGACTTAGCCTTGCCTCTTTTCTTTTTGGACGAGGTATTCGTCCACTGTTGGTCTTCAACCATAGGATGTCCCAAGAACCTATGATAACAACAGTAATTAGGATCATCCACCTTTCCTGCTTCATCTGGTTTTCTGATCTTAAGGAGTTGCAGTTTGTTGTTCTTCCGAAGTAGTTGGAACAGGGTGTCCACATGCTCTTCTTTGAACGAGTATTGCTTGGGCACTCTTTGTTGGTTCGGTGCTTTGCCTTGCTTCACAGGTGGTGCACGCGTGTTGGTGTCGGCAGCTAAAGTCTCCTTTCCCTTGGAGAGCGGAGCATTGTTCTAGTTACGTTACTGTTGTAGCTTGGGTTGAGTAACTTCTCCAGCCTTAACCCGAGCAATGATTTCTTTAGCTTGTTCTCCTTACGAAACCAGTTATCTCCAGGAGCGGCATTCCGCTACCTCCATTTGAGCAAGGAGCTGGGTCTGCAAATTGCGCCTGCAAGTTTCAACCAAGGTCGATTGGGTCATAACTGACGGGCATCGTAATACCATGCTGCGGAATCTTTCAACATAAGTCTTGATGGACTCTCCTTTCCTCTGCTTGGTGGCGATGAGAGTTGGGATTGAGACTTCTGTATCATCTTCGAAAAACCTGGCCAAGAAAAGCCTTTCTAGATCTACCTATTTTTAAATAGATCCAGCAGGCAGCTTCATGAACCACTCAAAAGTAACACCCTTAAGGGTGCCGATGAACAAATGGGTCAGAATGGCGTCGTTTGCTACCACATCTTCTGTCTGTGACTTGAAATAGTAGATGTGTTGGTTCGGTGATCCTGTGCCATCAAAGGGCTGCAAGGTTAGAGCCTTAAATTTTGGTGGATAGGGAACTGTGTCCCATTTAGCAGGATAAGACCGTACTACCCCTTCCTCATGAAGTTCGCTTCTGTTGGCAATTGCGTTGAGGCGGGCTTCTAGCTCATCCATTTTAGATGACTGAAGATGTAGCTCTCTTTCCATCTCCTTTTTGTTTTCAAAAGAGGATTCCAGGTTGTGATTTTCACGATCTGAATTCTCGGGTGCTTTTTGCTTTCCCTTTGACATTGTCTTCCGGGAAGACTCAGGTCTTTGGCCTTTTTCAGCAAGGAGCTGGGCCAGCATATCCTTCATTTGGAGAAGGGTTTCTTGCTACGCTTGAAGCATGGCTTGCTGCTCGTCGACTCTCTTTTCTAAGTCATCGTGGCCTCCGGTCATGTAAGCGGGAGCTTCTCGTGCCATGACAGAGCTTGATGATTGAGAATCAGCAATTGCTGAATGTTCGTCATTGGAAGTAATCCCTTTGGCCAGCTTTTGATAGTTAACCGAGCGGATAGCTCCTATCCGAGTCCGAGTGTGTCGATATACTCCTTCGAACTCGTCACAAATTTCCCGAACAGTCGGAGAATGACTTCTCTCTGATTCATCAGAGCCGGGAGCCAAGGCTTTCCCTCTGCCGATCACATTGATAGTGACTTCAGGGTATTCAGTTTCGACAATCTTCTTTTTGTGGCAATGTTGTCGTTTGACAGGTCTAGCGACGTTTGTTAATCTGTTGAACACTGATTGTCGAGGTGCAGATGAGCAATAGTGGCATTCCGAGAGGACCGCAAAAATAAGCCGCTCACATTGGCAGGAATGAGCTGCTTGCGGTGTTGGTCTTCTTCTCGACAACAATTCCCGTAAATCCGACACTTGAGAGGAGCTTTTCACCGAGCATGAAGACGGAGATGGAACCCCTTGCTCTTGAGTAGGTAAGACTGGTTCTTGTCGAACATGGATTTTAAACCCATGTTGGCCTTTTTGAACTTGGCAGACTACGTCGCGTTCTTGAGAAGAAACGCGAAGGTCACGTTTAGATTTGTAAACATTAGGCTGAGACCTACGTTTAAATGATGAAACAGACCACTGAGGGTCGTGTTTTGGTTGGACGCACCCATGGGGTCTGCGTTTGATTGATGAAACAGACCCCTGAAGGTCATGTTTTGGTTGAACGCACCCCAGAGGGTTGCGTTTGGTTGGTGAAACAGACCCCTGAGGGTCATATTTCGCTTGAACGCTCTCTTGAGATATGTGTTTATCTTTGGCAGCGCCTTTTTGAGGGCCGCGTTTTGGATGAACAACGTGCCACTGAGGGTCGCGTTTCAGCTGTATCACCCGAGGCTCATAAGTGGGTTCATTGCCATGAAGCGTGCGTTCTGGAGTGGAAACGCATTGTTCGGGCAGAACCTCAGAAACGCGATCCTCACATTGGGCATGGGATCGGCTTTCTCGAAGATGTGCTCGTCTTATGGATCTTCTCCGTCTTCGAGCGGCGTTCTTTTTGACTTGTTTTAAAGCTTTGGCAGCAACGTCATCGGCGTTTATAGAGTCTGTCTCCTCCATAGGCCGTTTATGACCCGTAACACGTCGTGTTGACGCGGACGTGGAACGTTCAACTTGCTGGACGAGTTCGGTAGAGGCTAAGCCCACTCTTTTGGTGGAGGGGCTGTTTGATGAATCTTGACTGAAGGAGAGGGCTTTCTTCAGCACTTCAGTAACAGTTTTGATCTCTTTGGAGATCTTGCAAATGTTGTGCCTAGCCTTGGGGCTAAGCGATCTAGAGGAGAGAGCTTCCTCGTATTTGGCTTGGTCAAACTCTACGATGAGAGTTTTGACGGTTGTTCCCGTGAGATGAACATCGGATTGCGCCACCACTTCATCGTCAGAGAAGCTAGTCCCCAGTGGAGTCATCATTTTTTGTTTGGTGAAAAATTTGAAGTAAGTAAAATGAAAGAAATTTGATTTGTATTCTCTTAATCTTAATTACAATTTGAATTTCAATTACAAAAGAGAGGAGAATGATCTGGATTCTCCCCTTTGTTTAATTCTAGGTTCTTCACGGTAGCGATGGAGTGCCTCATTCGAATGCTTGCGTCGAATTTGCTCTCCGTTGACGATCCGACCGTCTTGTCTCGTAGGAATAATTAGCTTATGTAATAAGTTTGATGGATAACTCTTAACGAGTTTAAAAACTCAGAACGAGTTAAAAATTCTGTGGAAAGAGTTGTTAAAACCGAATAATCGGTTAAGAAATCAAGTAGATTTGTTTGTTGCTGAAAGATGCTCCAAAATTTGATCTTCTTGTTGCCGAAAATCCAAGAGATCCCCCCTTTGGTGATCAAAAAATCCGATCTTCTCTCTCTAAGGAACTAATCTCCAAAACATGAACTCTCTACTGCAAAGATCAAACCTCAAAATCCAACCCCTACTCTGTTGAGTTTGTTGAGGTTTTATAGGGGATAAGGGGTTGTAATTGCCCCATTAATCCGCTCCTAAGTGGGTGTGATTTCCTCAGATCGTGGGGAAAACGGTTCTGAAACCGTTCGACTCATATTTGAATGAGTCAAACGCCTAATTTGACGTTCAGGACCCTAACTCCGTGTCCTAGGATTGAGACGCGGAGTTGGGTGTTGATTGAACATCAAAAACTTGAGGGCCGCTTGCGTTTTGTTTGTTGCAGCTTTGAAACACGGGGGTCGCCTGCGTTTCAAGAATTGAAACACGAAGATGAATTCCGCGTTTAGAAGGGGTTAGTTAACTTGTAACCTCTTTTGTAGAGCGTTGCAATGACCATTATTCAGTAATCTTTGCTTTAACTGTTGTGGGGTGTGAAAGTCGTCAGATTGTAACTCTCACTGTTGATTGTGAATACCACTAAATAGATTTTTCATTAGTTATCGGAAGTGTCGTTGAATTGTAACTCTTCTCGATCCATATTTGAAAAGTCCTCCATTTGCAGTTTTCATTTGTTGACATGAACGTCATCTGATTGTAACTTTCATCATTGAAATATAGAAGTCGTCGGATTGAAACTTGATGGGGATCAGCTATCTATTGTGATTTTTAGACAGCCTACAGATATATCAGCTCATGATTAGACATGACAGCCGGTTTAAATCCTAATTTTACCTTCATCTTTCTCATGTCAGTGAATGTTAACTCTTAGGGTTAACATGTTAACTCTTATGGTTAACATGTTAACTCTTTACAGTTAACATGTTAGCTCTTAAACATGTTAACTATTAAGAGTTAACATGTTAACCATAAAGAGTTAACATGTTAACCCTAAGAGTTAACATGTTAATATAATAACCATAAGCCTGAACACAATTTTTTCAAAAAAAAAAAAAGGCTGCAACACATTGTTGAAAATTGGAGGGTTAAGACACATTGAAAGTTAGATTTTGAGACTAGAAGCAATTTTCCCTTTTATTTTTGATAAAAACATCATAGAAATAAGCAAAACCCGACCGTATCAAAGGGAAGCAACTTAACCGAGAATTGATTTGCAAAAAAACACACCTCAAGTTACCCCCTCTTCCGCCGTCAATCCCACGAGCACGCGCGGCTCACACTCTCCAGAGCTCCCATGGAGGGCGTCGGTGCCCGCCTCGGCCGCTCCTCGACCCGCTTCCAGCCCGCAGTCGCCTTCACCGGACCAGTGAGGAAGTGGACCAAAAGGTGGGTCCCACTCCCAAACCCTAGCACCACCAGCAACAACTCCTCCTCGTCAAACCCTAATAAGACCTCCAACAGCGAACCGTCCAACCTCATGCTCTACAAATGGACTCCAATTTCTCCGTCCAAAAACGATGGAGTTCCTGCCACACCCGAGGACCCGCCGAAGAGGAAGTTTCGCTATGTTCCGGTACGATTCATCTGGGTTTTTTTTTGGATTATAGGGTGAGAAATTTCATGCTTTGGCTGTTCTTTAAAATCCCTTTTGTTCATTATGATAATTTCTTTCGATTTATTTCATCCAAAATAGTAATTTAGGACGTGGGTTTTTCTTTTGGATGCTCCTGGATGTAAATTTGGTGCTTTATATGGAATCATAACTTGAGTATGATTTGATTTTCGGAGTTCTTAAAAGAGTATTGAAGTGTTTCAGGTGAGATCTTGGTACTTGTTGAAGATAAAATTAGAATGTGGATAAGGGTAATCTTTAAGTGTTCCTGAATTTTTATTCGGCAGAGAGTGAGGTTTTATTTTGGTAGAGAACCATAGGGATGCTACTATTTTTTTGGGAGATAGGAAATGTGGCTTCTTGGTCCGTGGATGTGTGTGAGGTTCTAAGAAACAGAAATAGTTGAAACCATTTAAAGAGGATGAGCAAGAAGGTGGTTATTAGAGAAGTCAATTGCTTGCAGGAAGGTGAAAACATTTGCCCATGACGTGCATTCGAACTTATAATTTTTCACAAGCTAAGACATATGTTTTGTGTTGAATGAGTAATGCTAATTTTCATAACCAACTCTATCTAACTATAGACTCTTTTTGAACTAGTACAACTCTAGAAGTCACATCTTGCATCAGGAATATGGTTACTGATAATCTAATTAATCTCATAGTATGACTTAATGTTCTTGTTAGTTAAGATTATGCCCCTAACATAATTATGTTTTGTCTTGGATTTTAGCATGCTACTTAGGAAACAACTGACAGTTTAGAGATAATTGAGTCTTAAGTAGTATGTCTTTTAATCCATATGGAGTTCAATTTATCTTTTGTCAATTTATCTTTTGTCAGACGTTTTATAAGACAATATCAGAATACAATATGCAGTCACAACTCTTGTGGATTTTAAGTACATATGAACCCAAAAAATAATGGATCCACGACTATACACTAAAGAATCAGTTGATCTATTAATTGTTTGAGATTCAATATGTAATCTTTGAGATTATGGCAAGCTCCGCTAATGCATTAGTACTGTGAGATTTGGAATATAATCTAGAGTAAATTATCATAATTAGGGCCTTTTATGTTGATTAACAAAGTGGGATTTTGACTTGCTCACTAAACAAAGTAAAAGCCTAACAAGCTCCAAAAGTTTCTTTTATCGCTAAACATAGAAAATTCCTAAGAGCCCTAAATTCTAAACAAAGGGCTTATTACAAACTGGTAACAAATAAAAAGTTTTCTAGCTGGTTTTGGAGACTGAATAGGGAGTTACTACAACCTTTAAACACACATGGGTTCAATTGTTTAACTGACAGAGGTCAGCTCGAGAGTAAAGTGTTGATTTTGCATGTACTAGAGTAGTTAGTATACTAGAAGGGTTAGATAAGTTTGTTTAGGCCCACATTGGAAAATATGTATTGCATTTGTTTTTCCTTCAATAAAAAGGACTGTACCCCTCGGGCATTAGCTAACTTCCCCTACACAATGACATGCTTCTTGACAAGATGAGAATTAATAAGAACTAAACTGTTTTTTTGGTCGAATGAAATATTATACTTTATTAACCAATGAGAAAAGATAATACAAAATCAATGCTCAGGTATACCTGAGATACAGATCATCTTGAAAGGAACTAGTGGGATGAATCAACTATTACAAGTTTACAACTCTGTTTACATATGAAAACATATATAAAAATAGAGCACAAATGATCTTTTCAAAGGCTCTATCCACTTAATGTACTCAAGAAGAATACAATTACTTTTCAAAGACTATCCACTTAATATACTCGAGAAGAATACGATTATGAAAGGTAGCCATGATTACCCAAAGTTTGATTTGCCAAACAATTTTAGCAACCCCTTAACACGTTATATTGTGGTTTCTTAAATTCCTTCCCTCCTATAGAATGTAGATAGTAGCAACAAAGCTTGCATGTAATTTGTTCTTTTGTAGTTACCTAAAGAGCAAGTCTATTGGCACTCGCTTAAAGTGACTGCGGATCCGCACTTGCCAAATAAATCAGTCGTAAACTTATTTATTCCTTTTAGGTTAAATAAAATCCTTGAACTTTGGAGGGTTTGCAAGTCCTTGACTACTTTAATTCTACACAGCTTCCTACACTTTAAGGGGTTTTGCATCGAAACCCCCTTGAACTTCTTTATTCTACTGAACCCCTTACACATTAATGTGTCACATACTGACTATATGTCCGAAAAGGTGAAAGTGCCTATTAGATGTCAAAATTTAATAAAAATGATTTAAAAGTAGAAGGATGATGTTTTGAATGATAAGGAGTTGATAAGGAGTATTTTTGTCTTAATTTATCATGCGAATGCACGTGACTTTCAATTTTACGGTGTTACTTTGGCGGCTTAAAGTGGAAAATCTTTAAAGACTTCGATGGAATAAAAGAAGTTTAGGGGGGTTATGTGTAAAACCCCTCAAAGTTCCCCTCAAAGTTTGGGGGTTTTAAAATTTAAATAGGAGAGTTGTCTGCAAAACCCCCAAGTTAAGGGTTTTTTTTGAAACTATTTGTCTTTGCAAAATTTAACGTGTCATCTATATGTACATTTAAAAAGTAGAGGAAAGAGAAAAGGTCAAATGCTAAATTTTAGGACAACCCCCTTATTGGATGATTATTAGATAACCCTATAACTTTCAAAATACCAGAAAACCCCTTAGGGTTAGGGATTATCAGAAAATCCCATTATATTTAAGATTTTTTTCTTCAGAAAACCTTCTTTAACTTTGAGATTTTATCTGAAAACCACTTTAAAACAATTACTTTTTAGGGGGTTTTCTTGATAAATTGTCAAAATTAAAGGTTTTTTAGAAAACCCCTAAACTTAAGGGGGTTTGTTAATATTTTCAATGTTTTGGTGGGTTATCTAATAATTGTCCAATTTTTTTTGGGGGGGGGATGTATAATAATTAGCCAAAATCAAATATAGTGCACAAATCATTTAAATCTCCTTTCAATAATTTTTTTGTTTTTAAAATTCTATAATATTTTACTATTGCTATAAGAGATTGCTTACAAAAAAATTGATCCATTTATCTACATTCAAGGATTAATTGAACAAAAATGAAAACTTAAGGCAAGAACATAAATTACCCATTTTCACGAATCAAATGCAGTGCACGAAACATTTAAATCTCCTTTCAATAATTTTTGTATTTTTAAAATTACTACGAAAGTTCAATAATATTTTACTATTGCTATAAGAGATTGCATACAAAAAAATTGATCCATTTATCTACATTCGAGGATTAATTGAATAAAAATTAAAACTTAAGGTAAGAACTTAAATTACCTATTTCCACCAATCATCCCAGTTCCCCATCCTCATGGAAAAAAGGAAGATACTGAAGGAACGAGAGAGTATTTCTTTTGGGACTCAGATGTAGATTGTTCTATATTCCGAAGGAGAAAAACTCCTTTCTATTTATGGGCGTTCCCTCTCCACCTGCGTCCCCAAAAAAGTTGCCTACTATCTCTCTAAACCATTCTCTTCGTAAGACCCGATCTCAACGGAAGAAATCCCAGAATGTGAGATATTCCCAACAATCGGGTCAGATTTTTAACGGGTTGGGTTATAGATTTGGTCCATGAGGCCAAAACCACTTACATCTCCCACTTGGCCGAAATAACCAAATGTTTTCCAAGCACACACTTACACTATTTGTGAGATGTGACTCAAGATGTAATTCCATACTCCCACTGTCCGTGAGATATATTCACTTTTCACTCTACGTGAATAAATCGAGTACAACCATTACCTATGATTGTCTCCTTTCATTATTCATGAAAGTTTCATTGACTTAGACATTTCTAAGTCCCATCAAACCAACATGTTTGATGAATGTACCTGCTGAGATACCCTTCGTCAAGGGATCAACAATCATGTCACTAGTAGGAATATAAGTCACACCGACTTCTTCTTCCTCCACAATATCACGAATATAATGATATTGCATCTCAAAATGTTTTCTTTTAGAACTGTTTGCACCACTGTTGATCAAGCTGATGGTTGCTTGATTATCACAGTATATCTCAATTGGTCCATCCACCAAATTGAGATCCAAATTCTTTAGGAATCGTCTTATCCAGATTGCATGAGTAGCGATCATACTACAAGCTATGTACTCAGTTTTTTGTGTGTATCTTACCACACATCCTTATTTTTTACTACCCCGAGAAACAGCTGCACCACAAAAAATGAACAAATGTTCGAAAGTGGACTTCACGTCATCTTTGTCTCCTCCGAAATCAGCATTGGAGTAATCAAGAACTTCAAGCGAGTCTGCTTGATAAACTAACTTATGGTACACAATACCTTTCAGGTACTTCAAATTCCTCTTAAAAGCCTCCAAATGTGCTGGGCCAGGATTACTTTGTTATCTACTAACCAAACTCACCGGATATGTCAGGTCTGGTCTAGTACACAACATTGCATACATCAAGCTTCTAACAGTTTGTGCATACGGGACACCAAGCGGTTTCTGCTCTTCTTCAGGACATTGTTCTTTACACAACCGTTTTTTCATAACCAAAGGTGTTGGTGTAGGATTACAATTCTGCATTCCAAATCTTTTAAGTATTGTATGCAAATATCTTTCTTAATTTAAACTTAACATTTTAGACTTTCTATCCCTAAGGATCTGTATACCAATAACATATGATGCATCTCCCATATCCTTCATCTCAAATTCACTATTAAGTGTTGACTTGATTCTTTCAGCACTTCTATGTTATTTCTAGCTAGTAAAATATCATTTATATATAGAGATCATATTGTGAAACTGCTGCCACTCTTCGAGATATATACACATTTATCTAATTTATTTGCAATGAAACCAAGTTGGATAACCGTACTATGAAATTTGAGATACCACTATCTAGATGACTGTTTTAAACCATATAAAGATTTTTTTAATTTATATACCTTATTTTCCTGTCCTTCAACCTGAAATCTCTCAGGTTGATTCATATATAT